TTATTATTTTTTTTTTAGTAATTTTAATATCTTTGATAATATTTGAAGTAAAATCAAATATTTTAGTTTCAAAGTGTAAATCCAGTACATAAAGACCAGAAGAATAATCAGTTACAATCCAGTTACTGTTTGATCGTTTATAAGCTTTTCTATTAATAGGGTTTTGCAATACAAGTGTTGTATATCAATTAGAAGTATACGTGTTGCCCAAATCCCAAATCATTTAGGATTTGGGACGCCAAAATCCCAAATTACTAGTATTTGGGATTTGGGATTTGGGATTTCAGCAAAAAATACTAATCATAATTTGGAATTTGGGATTTGGGATTTCGGCATTTGGATTTTGAATTTGAGTGGCAGGTATAATTAGAAGCCATTATCTATAATAATAAATTTTCTTTTTGTAATTATATAAGTTTGTACATAATAATTAGTAATAAAAAAATTTTTTCTAAACTATTTTTATATTTTTTTACAACTTTATTTAATAAGATTTGCTTTATGCAAAAAAAAATAGACTCATGCAAAGGTTTAATATAAAAAATACTAACTAAAATTAATTTTTTTTATCAATATTAGAAACTATATATTCTGAAGTATGAGTTATAGTAGTATAAAATTTTCTTCGAGTATATTGAAAAAGTTAAGCTTGTACTAAAATCAATAATCTATTTTAATTTCTTTAGGTAATCATTTACTAATTAAGGATGATGTAATATAGTCTACCCTTAAACATGAATTTCTCTGCGAATATCAATACTATTATAATAAAATATATATTATCTTGTAACCAAAAACTAAGGCTTTCGATCTATCTTAAAAATATCTTAGTAGAAAATCACTCTCTGTCATTTAAATCTCAGCTAAAGTTAAAAAATTAAATTTTTCAGGTGTAAATTTCTGTAAGTCATGTAATATTTCCGTAAATTTATGTCTAATTAAATTTCCTAATGTAATCTGAGTCTCATCTTTTTATAATTATTAGGATAAGTTATGTATTTGTATTATTATGTAATATAAGAGACTTTCTCTTTTTCTAATTAACAAATTTGAGACAAGGTCTTGTTGAAACAAAAAAAAAATGTTAATTAATAATGTAGATTATAGTAACTTAGTTATTGATCAATTTACTGATCAACTTAGTGATCAACTAATTGATACAATTATTGGTCAAGATTTTGATTAATTTATTGATCAAATCAAATAATATAAAAAAAGTAAATTTTCTCTTCACCTCAAGTTAGATTTGAATAGTTTTAAAAAAGTGAAATTTAGAAAGTAATTACAACTGGAATTAATTCTGTAATTGAGTTAATATTTTTATAATCCTAAAGTAACTGGATTATTAATTTTCTTTATAATAAATTTATATTCTCTATATTAAAATTCTATTATTTTTCTACTAATTTATATTTTTCAAATATAAATTCTAATCAATAAACTTCTGTTATTACTTTATAAATCATTGACAGGTATATTTAGCTTTTTACTCTAATTTTTTAAATTGTTTTTCAAAATTTAACCATTAATTAATAACTTAATCTCTGTAATTATAAATTCCTAAGTTCTTTAATTAGTTTTAACTTAAAATTATTCTTTTATTAATTTTAAATTATCTTCTTCAATTTTTAAACTCAAGTGACTATTTATAAGTTACTAGTTATAAATTATCTTTTGAAAAACAAAATTAACCCGAAAAGTTTACTAGTAATAATTTGGTATCCTCTAGTAAAAACAAATTAAAACTTTTATAATTATCCCATCTCTTATTTTAATAACTCTTAATATAGTATTTTATAATTTATTTCTTTTTAGTTACTTTTTAATGCAAAAGTCTTAATTAATAACTATATCCTATTGTAAATAAGCATCACTTTTTAAATAATATTTTTTATTCGAAATTAAAGATAGTACTTATTTTCAATAGTTTAAATAATAATTTTTTTGTATCATGTAATTCACCAATAAAAAAAAAAGAGATCAAAAAATTTTTTTTTGATGTTTAAATTAATTTGTTCATTTTATAGTGTAGCAGAAAAATTTATAATAATTGTGGATATCAAGGTTCTTAATTGCCGTGCAGCTGCTCATAAATATGATATTAATTACTTAACGATTTCACATTGGATTAATGATGAAGAAAAAATAAAAAATACATCAAAAAAGAATAAAAGCATAGGTCTAAAAAAAAATCTCAATATTTCAAAGCTGAAAAAATATTAAAGCAATAGATATTGAAATATTGTCATAATGCTGTTGTAATAACTTGTAATATGATAAAATACATATATTAACTGTAACAAATCTACTAATTCATTAATTTATAAACAAGAAAATAAATAGTAACAACTATTTATTAAACACAGAAATAATATCAACAAATATTATTCCAACAAAATAAATTGTATTTAAATTAATTAACAAGAACTTACTTGCCTCTTTATTATTCATATACTGTTTATATAAAAATACATAATTATTGTTACATAATAAATAATATCTTAGGTCTTACAAGACCAATTTGGATGGTTGCATATGATAAAATATATAAAAGAAAATATAAATGAATAAAGATAAATAATTAACACATGAGATTAATTATATTGTAAATCTATTGTATATCAATACTAATTACATATGTTATCATTCACTATCAAAATAGAAAAATAAAAGTAAAAAGAATAAAATAGAAAAATAAAAATAAAAAGAATAAAATAAAATAAAATAAATGAAATAGGTAAGTATTATCAACTATATAAACTAAGGTGTAGTCAAAACTGTTACACTCTTCCCTTCTTAGAATTCAACGTTCTTGTAAATTTTCAAACATTGCTACTATACTTGCATGCAAAATTATTTTGAGGCCCAAAGTTGAAATAGTTTTTCATAGAAGACAAAATTATTTTACTTAAAACCAAAAATTTTTTGGCCACCCAGATTTATTCTTTGATTAAAGATACATATAACTGGATACTTTTTTTACTTCCATATATAGAATAGATTCTGCATAAATCTTAAAAAGTTGAAATATCTCAAAAATTCAAAATCAATTTTGGGAACATGTATAATTACAACATCTTTGAGTGTGTCCTAAAAAATGAATCACAACACCTTTGAGTATATTCTAAAAAATGAATCATGACACCTTCAAGTGTGATCTAAAAAATGAATTATAATACCTTTGAATATATCCTAAAAAATATACACCTGATCAAGAATAACCTAGCATAATCAGAAATAATATAATTATATTATTTCAGGTCAAATTAAGATAAATAATTTTAAACAGTTATATAGGAAACCTGAATTTTCTTTTTTAATAATTTGGTAATCAATTTTTTAGTTGAAACTAATAATTCCTCTTTACTTTGCAAACCAATATCTTGAAAATTTTGGAAGAAATTTTTTTAGAGTATCTGATACATTTCTGATAGGTAACATTTTTATTTTTTTTAGTTTAGATTATACTTGTACACAAAATTATTTTGAATTCCAAAATTGCAATTTTGGAGAAAAAAGTTAAAATAGTTTTTTATAGAAGACAAAATTGTTTTACTTAAAATTCAAAATTTTTTGACTACTTAAATAAATTCTTTGATTAAAGATACTCTTAACTAAATATTTTTTTTACTTCCATATATAGAATAAATTCTGTATAAATCTCAAAAAGACAAAATATTTCCAAAAATCAAAAATTTATTTTGGAAATATATATAGTTTAGATAAGTTATAATAAATTGTGAATTGGAACAGTTCTGTTCTTTTCTTTATTTCCTTTGCATTTTTTATTTCCTTATTCCAGAATTTTTGAATTGCCTTTGTATTTATATCCTGACTTGTATTCATTATCAGTTAATAATTTTAAAAAACAGTAATAATGAAATTAAATGAATGTACAAATGAAAAAAAGATAGATTGATAATTAATTAGTACTAATTTGATCATGGGTTTATTATCAAAATAGATGAATTCAGCAAATTAATTTTCATCCTGTGAAAATTTTCCAAAGATTTTTTTTATATACTGTATCAATGTTTTGAGCATTAGCAATCTTAAACAATTTGAAATCCTATTTATGGACATCCTATTTATGAAAATTCATGAAACAGAAATTCCTATTCATAAATTAGAATAAATCAGAAATTCCTACCTATAAATTGACTACCTATACTTATCAAATCTTAGCAAACTTGCCATCAATCAAAATCCACTAGTGGAATTACATACATGTTACAATATATAGATAATGTAAAAAAAAAGATTTGACCATTCCTGTTATCAAGATTCTAATTTAAAGTTTAATTGTAAAAAATGCTGTTTCTATTAGATTATAATTAGGTGAATAAGGAAGTAACTTTACATCCTAATGCTTCAATTTTCTCTATAAGCACACATTGAATAATCAAAAATTGATAAAATTTTTGATACAAGTTTTTCTTAATATTTGTCAAAAATTATGTAGATTATTTGGGAGAAGGAAGGTTCTTGCATAGTTCTTTATTACTGAATCCTTTCAGGGAGGAGGAATACGTTCTCTTCCCACCACATAAACAGTCCCAGCTGATAGTACTGCAAAAGTTTTTCATCATTTTGAATGTTATTATCAAATTGGTTAATTTCATTGCAGCTGATCTTCCTGCCTATTTGTGAATTATCTACAAATTCTCCCTGCCTATTTTTTCTTCATTTGACCAGTGAAGTTCGGCATCATAAAAAATTCATACATTATTTATTTTATAATTACACTATGATTTTCGGAATAAGGATTCATTACTTGTAACTAAAAATATTAAATAAACAAAAATAAATAGGATTTTCATAAAATTGATAACAAAAAATAATGATTTTTTTTAAATTTTATATCTGATATTACACAAGATCAAGATCATCAATAAATTTTTTCTGATGAGTTTTAATTTATTTAGGAAGAATATAAAGAATATAGTATATTAGAAAGAAATTATCAATGAATTTTTTTTTAAAGGGAAAGAAGATAATCAATGGAAATTAAAAGTGTGATAATTTTTGATGAAAAAGTCGAACGACCTTGGAAATGCAATTATGAAGGGTGTGATAAAGCATTTAAAGTCAATTTCAAGTTGAAAAGACATCAAATTTCACATACTGACGTGGTATATTTATTGTATATTTATTTTATATTCATTATTATGAATTTTTGCAAAAAAAAAAAAATAAAATAAATTAATCATCACTCAATTTCAAATTTTAGAGACCATTCAAGTGTCCAGTTTCGAATTGTGAAAAATCCTATAAAAGATTGGATCATTTACAAATGCACTCAATAGTTCATGGACAAGATACAAAACCATTCAAATGTCAAATGGTAGGATGTAAATCAAGTTTTTCTACAAAACATCACCTTTTAAGACATAAGAAACAAATTCATGATGTTAATCGACCATATAAAGTAAATTCTTTTTTAAAAATTTATTTATTTATTCAATTCAATTCATTTATTTGTATTATCAAGAATTTTTAAAAATATTATATATATATATATTATATTGGTCGTAGTGTGATAATCTAGGATGTGATGAATCTTTTACACAAGAATATATTCTAAGGAAACATAAAACTACGCATACCGGAAAGAAACTTTATCCCTGTAATGAATCAGATTGTGACAAAAGTTTTTCTACCTCTACGAAATTAAGAATTCATGGACGAGTTCACTTTAGTATTTATTATCATCATCATCATCATTATTATTTGATATTATTTGATGTTATTTATTAATTAATCTTTATTATATTCATTGATTTTTTTTAGATCAAAATCGCTGGAGATGTACATTTCAACAATGTGAAAGTGAATTTTCAAAAGTTTCAGAATTACAAATTCATTTACGTACTGTACACAAAGCAATTTGTGAAATATGTAATAAACAAGTTAAAGATATTAAATCTTTACGTCGTCACATTCAGACGCATAATCCGGATCGTATAATGTATCCTTGTGAATTGGATAATTGTGATAAATATTATTATGAGGTATTTTAGTTATATATATTTGATTTATTATTTAATCTATTATTTAATTTATTATTTTAATGATATTATTTGATTTATTATTTTAATATTATTTAATTTATTACTTTAGGAAAAAGCATTATACAAACATATAAAAGCTGTACACGAGAATATTCGATCATTCGATTGTGAAGAAGTTGGATGTGAAAAGTCATTTACATACAAACATGTTCTTAATAAACATATTATAGCTGTACATAAGGTTTGATTTCAATTTATATCTAAATTAACATTTCACCCACACCCACGAGAAAGAGAGAGAGAGAGAGTTATATCTTAACCACATTCTATTATCAAATTTTATTATCACGTTTTATATTTTTCATTATCACTTTTTAATAATATTATTTATATTAATATTATTAATATTAAGGATCCTCGTCCTCGTAAAATTCGAAAACTAAATGAAGAGGAAGAAGATAAACCAAATCATAAAGTCACTAAATTAGAACATCTTACGGGATTTGGATATGATAAAGGAAGAAATATTGATTGTATTGTAAAAGGCTGTACTTATAAATTTAAGAGACAATATGATTTAAATAGACATTTGAAAAGTAAACATCCCGAAATTAGTGAGATTAATGAAATTAATGAGATGTAATATAGATTCAAATATTAGATTAAATATCAAAAATTATATTGGAGAAGAATTAATTAATTTATATTTGACACTTGAATTACTTGAATTTTAATATTACATATAAATTTAATAACAATAAAATAGATTTTTTTTTTTAAAAAAAAAGAAAAGTTTACATTAATGATATACAAATACAAATTTCACCAGAAAAATAAATTATCATACATTATCATACATTACTTAGCATTACTATTACTATTACAGTAAAGTATCACTAGCATTAATTTATCAGTAACTAAATTAACTATCATTGATTATCATTAATTAATTAGTCACATTATTATTTCCATCAATATTTCCCTTTTCTTCATCAACTTTGTCCATTTGAACTTCTGGTTCATCTTTTAATTCTACAAATCTTTCTTCATATTTTCTTCTAGCCCATAATAATAACCAAATACCTGAACCAAATCCTGCTAATCCTGCTAAAATACTACATACGATAATAATAACTGCTGAATCTTTAACTTTCTTATTATTATCATTATCGTTACCTTTATTATTATTATCATCGTCATCGTCATTTCCATTAAAGTTTCGTGGTTTACATTCAACAAATGAAGTTGTTGTACTATTATTATAATCTGCACAATCGGCATCCGTGAGAATAATTGGTTCATCTTCGTTCGAGAAATTATTTAACCAAATTTTGGAATACGAAGATTGATATTGAGGATATTGTATGGAAATTAAATCAAGTAATGCGAAATCCGGACGTGCCAAAAATTTTTCAGTCCAATCATCAAATCCAAATTCATTTAAAATTTTTTGCGGACGAAATACTCGACGATAAGTAATAAAAATGGGAATATTGGAAGTAATATCATGATAACCAAATATATGTTGCCAATTATCAAATGTATTATTACTCGATGAAAATTCCGTTTGATCAATTATGAAATCCACCTTATCGATAATATTGTGTAAATCTTTTAGGTCGGAAACTATAATTGTTTCTTCATTAGGTAAATTGGCACCTAAATTAACAATATAAATTAAATATATAAATTAAATATATAAATTAAATATATAAATTAAAATATATTAATTAAATTAAACCAAAATAAATTAAATTAAATTAAATTAAATTAAAATAAAATAAATTAAAAATTTAATTATAACTTAAATAATAACTTAAATATTATTAACAAACCTGCATTCTTAATCAACGAACTATGATAATTACTTCCACTAATAGTAAATGATGAATTACTGAAATTATAAGAAACCCAAGCGATTGACATTTTGCTATCTTGCGGAATATTGTTTAAATTATTAGTATTACAATTATAAACTGATTCAATATGTGAATATGCATTATTCGCTTTCTTCTCAGAATTAAAAAAGACTGATATGAATTTAATCCATTCTGCATTCTATTATAAATTTATTATAAAGAAAAAAAAGGATTAGACTTACATACATTCACTTATACATCACACACTATTGATAATAAATTAATTACCGATAAAGGTGACAAATCATCACTCAACGAAATAGTCACATATTTGCTACCCTTCAATGAGGTGGAAGTGGTAAATACAATATCAACATTCTCGAGACCTGATGATTCATTGAAAGTTTGTATTATTGAACTATTTTGGAGACAGGGAGAAGTAATGCTATTTCTATCTGCAACATATTTTAATGTAGATTCAACACCAAGTATCTATTTATTATTTTAAAAAAAATAAATTTTATTATAAAAATAAATTATTTTATCAATTAAATCATAAGGACAAATTAAAAAGAAGTAAAATAAAAAAAGAAAATTTAATTTACCTCCAAATATGTAATCGTAGTTTGATCTAAACTTGCAACATTCTTAACTGGAATTTGAAAGAATCCCTTAATATTTTCAGGTAAACTCGTATCATTTGGTGGTTGAGAAGTACAGTAAAGAACATAATTTTCATTTGCTCGTATATTTTTGACAATTTTATATGAGTCAAAATAAGTTACTTGAAAACCATTATCATTATTGGATATTTCTAGTTGGTAAAAAAAAAGAAAAAATTAAATTAAAAAATTAAAAATTAAAAATTATTATTGAATTTTTCCTCGAAAGCGGAAAAAAAATGAAGTTTCTTTTGTCACTTACGTAACTGTGTTTCCAAGTCAATACAACCAGACCATACAGGTCTTACTAATACACATAATACAAATAACACTAAAGAACAATTTAAAATTGAATTTTTCATTATTTTTTATTGGTGTTTTTTTTTTAATAATCTGTCACAAATATCATAAGAGCATGAATTTTTGAAAAAAAAAAATTTAATTCAATAAAGTTCATAAATATATATAATGAGAGCAACTGTAATAAAGCTGTAGTGAACAGAAAAGCAGCAGTCCAAAGCAAGCAACAAGCAGAGTAAGCAATAGAACAGCTAACTCGAAACAGTTTACTCCCTGCCATTTTTATTCATTTTTATAGATGATTATTATCTTAAAAACCTTTTGTTTTTAGTAACACAACAAAACGCCCGCCCGAAGTATCATACATTATTTGTAACTTTATTTTTTATCTGTGAAACTCATCGTGATACATTTTTTTTATTCCTTCTAATTATAGGTAAATTTCAAATTCAACGAACAAATATTTATTTTCGATTTCAGGATCGGTAGTTAAGGTAATTATTTTTGACAAATTATTATTAGGTATTTTTTATCGATCAATTCTTTAAATTCAATAGCAGGAATCTGGTGCTTACTTGATAAGGATTAGTGATAAATAATTATAATCCAAGTATTAACTCATTCATAAATTATCTATGAAATACAACTTTTTGTGATGAAAAAATCTTCCTCAAAAGAAATTTTAAAGGTTTGGTTGGTTTTGATTGCGCCACGACAAGTCGTCATTAATCGTGATAATTTATTGTTTTTATTTGGAAATAATTAATTTAATGGGAAAATCACGGGACTAATTGGTTAACCAAAATCACTTAGTACAATTATCAAAGCAATCATGTTCTCTGATTTTTGGTATTTTTTTTTATTTCCATATATAGAATGGATATCTCAAATATCTCAAAAAGATGAAATACCTAGTTTAATGTATTTTCAATCAAAGAATTTCGTCTTCTATGAAAAACTGTTCTTATTATGATAGGCCTACTTGCGTGCAAGTACAATCCTGACATAACTCTAACCTTGACCTAAATTTTATTGTAAACGCGTCTTTAATAAACTAGATAATTCCAATCGTATTACCGTAAATCCATCGTACTAAACTAAAATTCGATGATCTTTTCCGAAACCTCCAAGTTGAACAACATATATTGTCTATTTTAAGTAAAACTATACTAATTACAAAAACCATACTATTTTTTTTTCATAACAGGTTGGAAAGCAGGCAAAGGATGGGAATAGACATAAATATTAACAATGCAATGTTTTTTTTATAACATAATTTCTTTCTATAAATTATTAAAATTTAAAATCTAAAATCCAAAGAATAAAATAATCCAGAATGGTTTCTTGCGTAAATTTGTCTTCATTTCCTAAAAAAAAAATAAAGTTATTTATTTAATAATAATATTTTTTTATTTCCTGTCGTTCTCATTGTTCACATTTTTTTCCTATTCTTTCTAAGATTCTAAGAGAATTTTTTTTTCCTATTCTTTCTAAGATTCTAATGGGCGAGGTGATACACCCAAAAAGAGACAATTAGGCTAATCTCGCTAATCTCAATGAAGATAGAGTCATTCAGTAGCAGGTGCAGTACCGTTCTTGCAAGATCGGTGTCATATTAAAAATATATACTTGAAATAGAAAATGCATCAAAACATAAAAAAAAAAAAACAATCAATTGCGGTAAAAACCAATTTAGAAATTTCAACAAATTTTCAAGCTTGTCACATGAGTTCCCATAATATGCAAAATTGATAAAAAAAATAAAATGTCAATAGTATAACAATATGTAAAAATATGTAAACAATGTCAATACCACAACATATTACACAACTTATTCGTCTTGAAACCTTATGTAAAGATTGGTCATCAATTCATAGTCATTCATGTGAATTCTTTTCTTCATTAGTAAATATTCTAACTCAAAGAGAAGCTACCACAAATATTTTACATAACAGTTCTTTCCTTAAAATCATCACATCGTCATCATCATCACAATTTATTACGAATACAAATTTTAATATTTCTTTAAATCCTATTGAACAAGTTTTAACTTCCGGAACATTGGAATTAGTTATTTATAAACAATCTCAAGAAATTGAAAAAGTTTTAATAAAAATTTATAATGTTTTAGATGAATTTGAAGAAATTTTAAATTCGATGAAAAATATTTTATCACAAAATAATAAAATTTTATTTACAATTAATAATATCTCCAATAATAATAATAATAATAATAATAAATCTATTGATAGTAATAATAATAATAATAATAAATCTATTAATAGTAATAATAATAATAATAATAATAATAAAGATAATAAATCTTCTAAAAAAAAGTCGAAAAAAAATAAATCATCTAATAAACAAACTTTTAAATCAAACATAATAATATCATCATCCAAAAAAAAAGGACAACAAAAAGTTGATGATAATGACGATGGAGTGGCGGATATTTCAATTTCTTTAACAAATTTATATATTTCAGATATTGTACAAATGTATGAAAAAGAATTAATATATAAACGGAATTTATTATTTGGTGGTGTTTTGAAAATTAATCATTTTGAGGAAAAAATTAATATTAGTGACATTAATAATAATAATAATAATAATAATAATAATAATAATAATATTGATGATGATTTAGAATCAGGAATAAATGGTGTCAAATTAATTAATGAAAGATGGGTGAAACAATCATATATTAATTTTGAAATTGAAGAGGGAATGATTGATAGATTAAAAATATGGAAAAGAATTAGAGAATTTGAACAATTAAATAAAACATGACTCCGCAATTTAAGGGTTTTGATATATCTCGTGAACGTGGGCACTAAATAAATATAATATAATACTTGTAATTATACTTGTAATCGTGAGAAATATCATTCAGATCTGCGGATTATCCAATTGTTGCGCTCTTGAATGAACTTTTGATCTACACACGATTATACTTTTTATTTAAACAATTACGTTATTTGCATATAGTCAACATATTTAAAAGAAAGTCAATATGGCAATCGTCATTCTTCCCCTTTTTTCCTTTTCTTGTTTTTCAAAAAAAAAAAAATTCTTAATATTTAAACAACTAACTTTTTAAATATTTAAATTCGTTGAATACTTTTTTTTTTTTTTTTTTTTAAACTTTTTAAATAAATTTTTATACTTCAAATATTTAAATATTTTAGTATATTTTTTTTTAAACACACTTTTAAATATTTATAATATAATCTAAAAAAAAAAAAAAAAAAATGTCTGAAAAATTTTTTGACAAATTATTGAACGACCTTCAAAAATTATTCGAAAATAGTGACAATTATGATGTAATTATTGAAATCGGAAAAGGCGATAACCAACAATCATTTAAAGTACATTCTGCTATTTTATGTTATAGATGTCCTTATCTTTATAAAGAATTAAATAGAAAAGAAGTTCATAATAAAGAAAACTTGAAAACCATTGAAAAACCGAATCTTTCTATTAAGGTTTTTGATATTATTATCAGGTAATAATAACGATAATATATTTTTGATTATTTTGCTTTCTTTAAAATATATCCCTTTCTAAAATATTACTCTAATAATAATAATAATAATAATAAATAATAATAATAATAATAATAATAATAATAATAATAATAATAATAATAAAATTGTTGTAGATATATTTATTATGGAATTGTTTCCTTGGAAAATATCGATCCTCCTATAATATTTGATCTTTTAATTACTGCAACTGAATATTCATTTGAAGAATTAATTTTATATCTTCAATCCTTTCTTATTGAAAATTATTCTCCTTGGTTATATCATAATTTTTCAAAAATTTATAATTTTTGTTTTCATTCGGAAAAATTGGAAAAATTACAAAAATTACAAAAATATTGTGATAATATTATTTTAAAATATCCTAAAATAATTTTTGAATTTAATAATTTAAAATCACTCACGGAAATTGCTTTAATTTCTTTGATTAAACGTGATAATCTTCAACTTGATGAAATTGAAATTTGGAATTATTTAATTCAATGGGGAAAAGCAAAAAATCCAAATTTACCTGATAATTTAATTCAATGGACTAATGATGATTTTTTAACTTTAAAAAATACTATTCAAAAATGTTTACCTTATATTAGATATTTTCAAATTTCTGGTGATAATATTATTAAAAATATTAAACCATATCAACAAATTTTACCTTCAAATCTTTGGGATGATTTAATGCAATATTTTATAGCTCCTCATTTACCAGTTTCTTCTAATATCTTACCTCCTCGAAATTATCAATATAATATTTCATCTTCTACCAGAATACCAAATATACTTCGACATATTTCTCCCAAATTATCTGATCAATATATTACTCAAACAAAAATTCTAGCTCAATATATTCCACAAACAAAATTATTTTCTCAATATATTCCTTCAAATATGATATTATCAACTATATCAACATCATCATCATCTATTTATGAAGAAAATTGGGAAAAGAATAATTGTGAAGAGAATAATTGTGAAGAGAATAATCGTGAAAAGAATAATTGTGGAGAGAATAATTGTGAAGAAAATATTCATGAGATTAATCAAGAAGAGAATACTCATGAGAATAACCCTGAAGAGAATAAAAAAGAAATTACTCATGAGAATAATCCTGAAGAAAATCATATTAATTTTTTAAATTCCAATATAATTACACAAGATCACATGGCAGAGATTGCTTCTTGGATTGATAGAAATAATTATAATTATAATTATATAAATATTCCATATGAATTTAAATTATTATTTTGTGGAAGTAAGAATGGATTTAATTATACAAATTTTTGGGATAAATGTAATAAGATTAAAAATATTTTAATAATTTTAAAAGTTAAAAATAGTGAAGAAATTTTAGGAGGATTTAATCCTATAGGTTGGAACTTCGAAACCGAAAGCGAAAGTTATACGAACACCAATGAAAGTTTCATTTTTTCATTAAAAAATGATCAAAATTTAAAATCAATTATAAGTCGAGTTATTAATCCTGATAAAGCAATTAGAAATAATTATTTAAATAGATATGGTCCAATATTTGGTGAACATGATTTTGTGATGTATAATAATTTTCAATATGCTTGTTGGTGTATAAAGCGTGATTATGAACAACCAATTAGAGATAATCCACATAAATTTTATATAGATGAATATGAAGTGTTTCAAATTATTAATAAACATTAAAAAAAAAAACTCCCCATCGCCCCAACACATCATCATCATCATCATCATCATTAGAATTAGATAAAGAAATTTTTTATTAATTTAGTAGAATAGATTTATGTTACGAGCCACTTGATCATTTGACCATAAATATTTATAATTTTTGTTATCATTATGCTTACGTGTATAATCTACGTTGTATTCTATGTATAATTGTGTGTAATTAACGTATACAAATTATTTAATTATTAAAATTATTTCCCAAATAAATTACTCCCTCATGATAAGGCACAGTTATAAAGATAATTTTAGATATTTATTATTATCAACACATGAAAAGTAAAAAGTTTAAAGAAATATCTTGAAATCAAGTCAAGGTGAGTTTCATATGATAATTTGATAATAAAGGGAGCTTGGGAATAAAAAATTTTTATCATTAGATCCGGGGTCAGAAAAAAAAATGAAACTAAAAATGGACACATGTTTTTATTAGAAAAATCTATCGAAACAAAAAATACGATTAATTATCGATTAATTAAATTATACTTTATGTACATCATTACGTTATTTCATTGAACCCCCATTTTTCATTCAACAAATGTAATCCAATTTCCGTATTTATTAATAAAATAATATGTGAAGAAAATTTCATTTATAAATAAACAAATGAAAATCAAGTTTATTAAGGAATTCTATGATTACCAAATGCATCAAAATACAAAGACTCGTTCTTAAATTATTATTATTGTGATTTGATAGATAAAAATCTAATGCATCATCTTTTTTCATTGAACCTGATTGAAATTTAAAATGATCAATATCAAACACTTTATCTTAGGTTGTTACACTAATCGAATCCATTCGGAATCCGGAGGAACTTTTTCAGTAATAAATACCAACCTTCTCCCAAGAAAATATGAAATTCAGAATTTAACCATACTGAAAGACTTTAAAATTTTTTTTTAATTTTTTTAAAAAAAACGAACCGATTGAAATTTCAAAAAAAAAGTTATCAAACTGGATATCTAAAGCACTTTCTTTTTGTGACAATGAATGTGCTGCTCTTTATAAACTACATTTCCAATTTTAATTATTTTCCTACTATTGTAATTTTTAACGATAATTTTTGTCCTAGTCCAAAGTAAATTGTATGTACCTTATTTTATTTGTTTTATTCGTCATCTTTGCGAAATTATCTAAAAATTTATTATTATTAACGATGTTTTTTTGTTTCTTTTTTCATTATTTAGACTCGCCAAAGAATAAAATAAAATAAAAATAATTATAATTATAATTATAAATTTTTAGCAAGTCAATCAATAAATCAATAAATGGAGGATTACGATCAGGTGACTTCGGAGATTTTTCATAAAGTTCCTACGATTTGTTCTCAATGTTGTGATAATGAAATCAAAAGTTTTGGCTGGTGTCAAAAATGCGAATCATTAAATTTTAAAAAAAAATATTCTGAATGGACAAGTGAAAACCCTTATCTTGATAAAATTATTCAATGGTCTCAAGAAAATTCTTTTCACAATTGTGATTATTTGGAATTTATAAATTATGGTAATTTGAAAGAAGAAATTTTAATGTGGGATTTAGAATTTACTCAAATTTATAAAGCAATCTGGTCAGAAGGACCTTTATTAAATTGGGACGTAGAAAATAAAAAATGGAAACAAAATAAAATGACTGTTGTATTGAAAAGATTTAAGAATTCGTCCATTATTTCGAAAAGATTCTTGACGCAGGTAATTCCTCCCCCCCCTCCCCCGAATTCAATAATTTAATTTCTTGATTCAATAATTTATTGATCGATATTTCATTGATTCCATAATAATAATGATTTTTTGTTTTTCTTTAGATTTTCAGAAACATTAAGTGTTTAACAAGCGATTCTCTCGCAGAATTTTATGGTATTACGAGACATCCCGAAGGTGACTATATGTTCGTAATGAAATATTATGAAGATGGTAATTTATATAGTTATCTAGATAAAAATTATGGTATTATAACTTGGGGAGAAATATTTAGTATTCTTTTGGGAATTTCGGAAGGTCTGGGTCGAATTCATAAACAAGGAACGTATCATTCAAATTTACATGGTGGAAATATTCTCATTGAAGATGATATTATTTCAACGGATGCGAAAGTAACTGATACAGGTCTTCATGGTTTCTCGAATGAACCATATTCTCCAAATAAAATTTATGGAGTTTTACCATTTATTGCACCAGAAATATTTAAAGGAGATGTTCAAAGTAAATCGGTCGATATATATAGTTTTGGAATTATTATGGCTATGATGGCTACCGGTCAAAAACCATTTTGGAATAAAGCTCATGATGAGGAATTAGCTCAACGCATTTGTTATCATAATTTACGTCCGGAAATTACTCAAGAACTCATATCTGAAATGCCAAAATTTTATTACGATTTAATGGTAAGTTGTTGGGATCCAGATCCTGAAGCAAGACCTTCAGCGGAAAATTTAATTGAAATACTTAAAAATTGGATACATTCTACAAGCGATGATGAAAATTCTCACTCAAATTCTCCAGAAATCATTGATCAATTTAATAATGCGGAGGAAGTTAGGTGGACTTCAATTGATAAATTTAAATCAATACACGATGAATCTTATATTGATAGAAATGATGTGGGTTGGTCCTTTCAAAAACCATCCCAAGAAATTCACGTAAAAGCAAATTATTCTGGTAGAATCATTGATATTTTGGAATTTCAAAATTATTTCAAAAAAGATGTTGATTATTAAATTGACACCCACTCATCACATCAAAACCTAAAAATTGACTTGAAGAATTAATAAAATCTTTTTATAAAAAAGAGTATTCCATTTTATAAATAGTAATTGGTGAACATAGATTGATTTTTTTTCTCCTACTCTTTTTTTTTCAACCTGTTGTATTTATTTATTTAACATTTTATTTAATATCTTTATTTAAAATTTTATTTTTCAAAAATCTAAAAATTCCCCATTCTATGAATTTTTCAATATGTTATGACATTTTAAGTTTAAATATAATTAACTTATATTTATGAATCAATTAATAAAAATATAGAGTATGCTAGCTATCCTTTTTGTTTTATATTTAAAAATTGTAATAAATTTTATGTCTCGTTAATTTTTTTTTTAGAATAGGATCACAGGCTGCTGCTTTTATATTTTTTTTTAATTACTTTTATTTTTAATTTCATATCATAATCTTTTATAAAAAATATTAATAAAATATATTGTAATTTATAGAGATGTTGGTGAAACTGAACTTAGATTTAGTTTTACCACCATCTTTATAAACAAAAAATTTAAAATTGCAATAGCAATAATTTCATTTTTTTTTTATAAAAATTGAAATATAATTAAATTCTATTAAACTTTAATATTTGAATTTCAACTTATAAATTATTTTTTCTGTCATTTTTTTTTTAAATATCAAAACCATGAATTTTAATGGTATCTATATGTTTAGAGAATTCTGAGTCTAAATGTACATTTATTTTAATATACGTATTCATTTGTATTTGTTGATATCTGAAAGAGTATATAAAATTATAAATATACCTCAACAAGTCGGGATGCTTGTTGTTTCCGTACTTTACCTTTTAATAGATAGTCTATATTATTATTGTTTCAATGAAGTGTTTTTTTATTATTTTTTTTGAAACAGAAATTAAAGAAAATTTTAAACTGCCATTGCAAAGCAAACTGTAACTGTATATGAAATGCACTTCTTTTTTAAAAATTATATATATGCACAAATGAAAAAAATTCCATAGTTTATTCACATTTTAGCTTTTAAAGCACTTCCCGGTACAAGTCAATAATAAAATCTTTACCAATTATATTTGTCTTCACTTATAGGAATTGTGATCTGAAAAGCTGACAAGTTTGGCGCGTTACAATCAGCAGGATTATTGACAGGATCCCTTAAATATTTTTAGCATTCCCAAAATCCCACCGTTGTATTGCCGGTAAAGTTTTGCCTAACATTAAAAAAACAGACTAATCAGATATGAAAAATATGTAATGCTTAACTTGGCATCATTGAACAACAAGATATACTGTCATTATTTTTAAAAAATATCCAGTTCCAGGTTCTCGTACACCTGGTCTTGGATCAACAACTCCATTATTAGGAACTTCGAAAAATTTTTGAAACACGATGAACAACATCCTCATGTTGGTCTGTGGTTATACCAATTATATACATGTCATTGTTAAATGGAATCGGAATTTGTATCCAGATGACCCGTGTTTGTGAAGGAAAGTGTTATAATTTTTGATCGTTATTTTCGAGCCAATTTGGAAAGGCAAACTACATGTCAACATTGGGTGGCACTTAAGTAATAAAGTAATAAACCCATATACCCACTCTCTTTCTGCCGATGGCTTTTATTGTAATTTGGATAATTGTGTCAAGTCTATCCAAATTCCTTGTCCACAAAATATTGTCTGGATAATGCAAATTTTTTGCGTGTCACGTTTTTTTCTGCTGTAGCATTATTAGTCCTAAAACTTTTTTTGCCTTGCTATTATTTTATTAATAAAATAATTCTTTGGGATGTATCTGTTTTATGGTAAATATAATATATTGTAATTATATACATTTCTATATATAAATAAATTATAAAATTTTGCGAACCAATTTTTAATACTAGTATCTCAGCACATTTATTTATATTTATTTATGTAATTCTATTTTATTGATTTTGTGAAACATCTTTTTTTTTATATTTTTTTTTTACTTCGCCATTCTAGATAACAAAAAATTTTTTCTAATAAACCATAATTTAATTTTTATTATCTAACTCGATTTTATTCTTTTATTTTATTTTATTTTTTTTTATAAAATTCCACTCTTCTTTTGGCTCTTGATGTTGCTGTATATCCAAATACAGCGTTTGTTTCAAGACCTTCCACTTCTATCATAATACCTCGTCCTCCTAGTGATGTAGATGTATGTTGAGTTTAATGTGTATAATTGTATTTTGTTTTATGTTATTTTCATTATTATGGTTTATGTAGGGAAATCCTCATGCACAGTCAATTTGTGGGGTAGCTGTGGGCCAAAGTGTTAGTCATTTAGGACGAAGTGCTTGACTTGGATGCAAGAACAATACGTCCGTGCTGTCATCGGTATCAAGATTTTAGATCCAAGACAAAATATTCGAGAACTTGGAACTGGATATTTCCATAGAACAACGACGGTACATCTTACTCTTATTGCATATTTTCATATTTGATTGGTTTATTTTTTAAATGTTATGCAAAACTTTACCGTCAAGGAATGGCAGTACAACGATGGGATTTTGGAAACGTTAAAAATTATTTAAGGGATCCTGTCAACGATCCTGCTGGTTGCCAAACTTGCCAACTTTTCAGATCACAATTCCTATAAGAGAAATATTTTGGGATCCACCGTTTCCTATCGCATATGTTCCAGTAATCCCGACAAACATAGTTGGTAATAATTTTATTATTGACTTGTACTGGATCCAGCGAATGGCTTTAAAAGCTAAAGTTGTAACGCTGCGCGAGACACTGAAATTCGACTTCATGTAACCATGGTTTATAGGGTTAGAATCTCAGGGTTTAAAATCGCGAAAATAATTATTAATCGTTGCTACATATAAACCTTTATTTTTATAAGTTAATATGAAAAATACTACTAAGTAATATTAAAGAAAAGAATGAATTACATACTCTGTAAAAACAGCAGACGTATTTCATTAAAATTGAGTTAGACGGTTAAAAAAGTTTAAAATGATTATTATTCGCTCAATTTTATTATATAGGTCTATAATATACAATCAATGAGGTTACTTAGTACTGTTTTTACATTTAATTATAAAATGAAAAGTTTTATATGTGATAATTATCAACGACTTTATGTATATTTGTTATTACAGTGAACCCTCTATAAATGCACCCTCTATAAGGTGCACCCCTCTATAAATGCACCCCTATGCTCCAAGTTCCATACATAATAACACTTAGTAAAATTCCCTTTATAAATGCATCCCCTTTATAAATGCACCCTAATGTTGATTCCCCGAAGGGTGCATTTATAGAGGGTTCACTGTATATGTAAAAATAAAAATAATTAGCCATAACATAATATAATCGTCGATCGTTATCACATATAAAACTTTGATTTTATAAATGTCAAAGATAAACATTAATTGTATACATAAAAAGGACAGACCTATATAATTAAATTGAGCGAATAATAGTCATTTTAAAATTTTTTAACCGTTCTAACTTTAAATGCCAACCGTTCTCTCAATTTTAATGAAATACGTCTGCTGTTTTTACAGAGTATGTAATTCATTCTTTTCTTTAATATTACTTTCCATATTAACTTATAAAGATAAAGGTTTTGATTAATAACATTTTTCGCGATTTTGGACTTACGTTTTGGATCAAAATCGCGAAAATAATTATTAATCGTCGCTACATATAAAACTTTTTATTTTAATAAATTAATACCAAATAACTGACGGACTAACCGTCAATTCTCACTTTGTGGGCGTCGATGGGTCAACTCGTCGTCTAGATTAAATTAGTAATAGTTTAGTTTAGAGTAGGTAGTTAGA